AATAAAAACAATTCTATTTTGATTCTGACTTTTCTACATCCAACTCACAGGTTTATCATTGCATTTAGAAAAAGGATGATTAATTTACCCCTTTGAGAAGTGAAGATATAGTAATTTCTTCTGGGAATGTCATTTTCGAGCCTGAGGCCTGAAAAACAAGCTTGGGGCTTAACAGGTTAAAAATGTAAGATATTCATTTTGCAATAAGAGTAAAGACTACAAAACCCAGCAAATATCCTCAGGCTATACGTTTGAAACCAGTTTACTTCGGGCAAACTCGTATGACATAGTGTTAAGTTCACTTAGAAGGGCCCTATTTTGCATTGCAGGTTATCCTTTCAATGCAGTGCAAAAGTAAATAAAAGGCTGAAAACATATAACACCCTCTCAATGAAATCCGTACATTTGATGTCCTTTAAAGGTCACACATTTTCTGTTAAATATCTTTGAAGCTGAATAGAATCTATAATAATTATAGTTCATTTCAAGCACACCCAGCTGCACAAATGGTAAGAACATGTGCAGCGAGCCTTGAGGGTGGAGTAGTTTAACATTGGCGGGGTGGAAAGAAGAAATATCTGAGCTGCCGAAGGTTACCCTGAGAAAGAAAGACTTGCCCATGAGCAGTGAGTTGGCAAAGTACATCTCTTTAATGTAATACGAAAAAAACAAGAACGCTTCTTCTCGAGCCTCAAAACAAACTCAACTCGTACCAAGTGTTGTTGTTGCTGCTTTTGTAGTTTACACAAACACAAGGTAACTCTTGTGGAAAATGCAATTATAGAGTCTTTATTCAAAGAAAGACATTGCACCCGTTTGCAAGTCTGTTCTTGACTATGGGTGCCCTGTGCTGCCAATAACCTTTATATTTAAAAACATGTGTAAATCATGTACTCTAAGATGCACCCAAAAAATGTTGTTTAAATAATCCAGGACCTTGTAATTATTTTCCTTTTTTATTCATTTTTTCTAAGCTGAAATATTCTAATCATATTTCTCTTGTACGTTATATTAATTCCCTAAAGTTTGAATAACGTTTGGCTCAGCTCGTTAAGTTATGTTAAGCCCAAAGGAATTATTATATTATATCAAAAGAAGGTGAAACGTTGAACCGCTGACAAACTTTAATGAGCAGTTTAATTACATTGAGCCAGACTCCATCCCGGTGCACACAAACCCCCGGTCGTGCCCGCGGTAACGTGGCGACGGTGCCAGCTGAACGGAGCAGATGGTGGCAAGACGGAGGCAGGGGAGCTGACTGACTGACTGACTGACTGCTGAGAGCCTGGCAGCGAGGGGGGGGGGGAGCGCTTGATGGGTGGGAATACCAGGAACTAATTACAGTGGTAGCTGCTGCATTAGTCCGCTGCCATGCATTTATCATTAGCGCTGCACAAACATTTACAGAATTCTCGTCTCACGTTTTTGGTAAGATATATTAAGGTCAGGATTCAAAGGTACCATATTGGTCCTTGCTAGAGTTTATTTTTTATACTAGTTTTGTTCAGCCATGAAGAACATTCATTGGCTTTTGTGAATTGTAACAGTCGCTTTTAAAGAAGGATAACATGTTTTTTTCAAACACTTCTCCAAAAGGCGGTAGCGTTAGCTTCCAGATGTCTTTTCACAGCATCAAGACCTGTACTACTATGGGACACATTACAGACTTTCCTCCGCATTTTCCTTTTGGTTTGTCTGTTTGTCAGCAGAAATACAAAAAGAACGCTTTTTCATTAAGTTTGGTGGACGAATGAAGCGTGGACCCTGAAGTACCTCATAACATGTTGGGCCCAAATGCAATCAAGGGCTGATAGAACAAATAATTATTCCACATTTTAACACTGTGAGTAGTGCATTTGGCCTTGGAGGAGATCTTCCCTCTTGGAGTCGTTTATTCATCCGTGTTCGATTAAAAGGTTTACAAGTACATTTTCTTTCTAATTGGCTGAAATTACAAGCACAGGTCTGTATACATGTGCTGTAATTATCATGCCATTAGCATGGATTGGTAAACTCATGTTTGCTTGAGGGGTGTTGGAAGCAATATCTGTGTTTCTGTGCTTACATAATTATTGTGGTTGGCTGAAAATGTACAACGTTCTAATTGCCCTTCCTTCCCACACACCAATGGAGCAGTTTGCACTCTCCATAATATCTTCAAAGTCTTGTAATGTTGTCAGCCGCGTATAAAGTCTCCGAGTGAAACCCCTCTGTAAAGGTCATCCAATGCAATTTGAATATCTTTGATTAAACGGTGTGCCGGTGCCAGACCCAGACTGTAGGTCAGTGCCTCGGAGAAATGATATCCGCCCCTCTCACCCCCCCCCCCCCACTTGTTCCTCCCAAAAGTCTCCCCTGTCAGAGCTTCTTCCATTGTCAAGGTCACGTCTGCCCTCCTTTTAGCAATTTACGTAATCTCCCGACTATCTCCTCTACAACACTCAACCTGTCCTTCATCTCTTCCCTTTCGTTAGTCTCTCACACTATGGGTTTTATCCTGAAATCCACCCCCCCCCCCCCCTGCCGGAATCCCTCTCCTTTGTCTTTTTCCCATTATTTCCATTCATTAATCACACTGATTCTAACATGTCCTTTCGAGGACTCTGCTACAGTAGTCATGGAAGCATGGCAGTACACGTCTGGTGTTATTCTCTTGTAAGTGGAGGTCAAAGAAAAGAGTTTTCGAGGGGAAAAGAACATATATTTTTCCAAATGTACCACTTAGAAATATGTAATTAAAACTAAAAAGAAAGATACTTTATTAATCCCTGAGGGATGGAGATTAATTCTTCTTCTTCTTCTTGCGGTGTACGTTCGTCCATAGTCCAGCTCAGTGTCACAAGGCCACGGCTCTCGTCTCTGGTCCATATGAAGAGCCAGCCTCGAAGGAGGTCTGTACAGAGGACAGGGTGGGTTGATTATGGTGGTCGGCAGTCTGCTCAGCTTCGCCACACTCCATTACTGCGCGTCTGCCAGGCCCCACTCCTCATGATGATTGAAGCGGACCAACCCTAGTATGAGAGGGCGGTTCAGCTGGCGTTCCAGTGCCGCGTCCGGTGGGTAGATGTTTCTCCTTCGATCTCCATCTCCCGGGTGTCTTGGATGTGATTGTGCCAACGTGTGAGCTTCAGCCGACCCATTCCTGCTTCCAGGGAAGTTCTAACCATGCCCTTGTAGACAGGTCCTCTAGGGGGATGGAACCAAGCATCTCTTGTGCTCTCCTGTTGTAGGTTGACGGGACTTATGGTCTGCTCGGGTCGCTGCTTTAGTTGTGGTTTCATGCAGGATAATTGCCATCATGTTCTTGGCTTTCCTTGCAAGTGCAAGGTAGCGGCCCTCTCGTCGGAGGCCGCCGGGGCAATTCCCCGCTAGGGACTGGCCAGGTAGGACAACGGGGGGGTGGGCTTTCAGGCACCCAGTTACTGATGCCGAAGGCGTTTGTTAATGACAGGGATCAACATCTTCTTACATTGGGCTTCTACACCAGACTGGGGCACAATATTCGGCAGCAGAGAACACCAGGGCTTGTGTGAGTATTCGTAGCGTCCTGGGCGAGGCACCCCCAGGTCTGTACCAGCGGAGGCGTGAGGATAAGCGAGGGACCCTTGCTGTCACTTGGCTCTCACTTACTTCAGGTGTTGTTTATAGGACAACTGGTCCTGTCCAGCCGGAACAACCGAGGTACTTGGGGGCTAGTGGTGCTCCAAACGTTGTTGTCAATGGACACCGCATAGTTCCTTTTGCCTCTCTGTTGCACATGTTGGTATGCGGGCCGACACAGTCTTCCCAGTTTACTGAATCTGCAGACGCCACATGCGCCAATGGTAGGCTTCAGCCAAGATGCCCATTGTCCTGGTGAGACCCTTGTCCACCGCTGACC